GCCGCGACACAACCTTGCTCTGCATGATCCAACCTGCGACCTGGCAGATGTGGAGCGATATCGACTGGCGTTCATGATGCAGTTTTTTGTTCAACAAAAGCAAAGATTTCGCTTTCCTCGCCTCCGGCTCCAGGTAGACGTCTTACATAAATTCGCCCTTTCTTCCTTTTTTAGCCGAAAGCTTTGCTAATCGTACAGCCAGACTGTGGTTGTTGCTGTTCAGACAGTCTTCCTACCGATGTGGCCATTGTGATTGTTTCTTTTGCTTTGTGACTGAGCCCTCTTGTAAATGGGACCATGGCCGGATGTCCTATTCGTCAGGGTCAAGTTAATTGGCCCCGCTAATCGGCATTCTCTTCTGGCCGGCTTTTTCATTTGGCAGCTTCCGCACGACACTTGAGCGTCAATTATCTCACTCGTAGTAGAAGTGTTTATCTATTTCTTTTTAATTTCTATTTTGACCTAGTTCAATTGATTTGGTGACTGGCCTTTTCCTGAACCAAATCGTCTGTGTCTAAATATCGACCGTCGGACGTCAAGACATGTGCTGTCAACCCTTTGGAACCATGCTTATTTCAGTTCGACACATGAGTCTCCTTACCTGTTGACTTGCCGTCGATACAAGAGGATAGGAGGATTTTAGGCTCGCCAGCTTTCCCACTGTTTAGTTATGGGATATTAATTGTGGATTACCAATCCGGTGTCTTTGGAGTTGGGTCAATAACTTCCAGTTAGTCATTTTTCATTACAACTCAGTGTTGAGCCTTGCAATTGCCTTTTTCTCTCTCTTTTTGCCTTTCTCCATTTGGCCAACTGGCGAAGGATGGATAAATTTGCATTTCTGACAACCACTACATACACGTCCGAGTTTAGTTTAAAATGTATCAATGCATTTCTGTTCTCGTTTTCGTTTGTGAAACCCTTTCTAATATGATTGTATTCTTCCTTTCTGGTTCTGATAATCGCTGATAATCTTATCACTATGTCACAGTTCATCCTGACATATTCCCACATTTCTCTCATTTGCATATCCATTTTACGTTTATCGCCAATGGAAAGTAGATAGGACAAAACTTGTGTTTGTTTTATGTATTCATTTGTATCCAGGCCAACTGCTCTCTCTGTCCTATTAAGGCTGGCATGACCGAATCACTTTGGCTAGTTTGGCGCCTTTACAAAACTCGTTGGGAGTTCAGCCTTTAAAAGGATGCGATGAATACTTTTATTCAACAAGTTTGCCCCACCTTTCTGTTCGCACAGTACACTTTCATGAGGCCTGAACAAGGTGACATTTTCTGTAGAGTTCAGATGTAATTATAGCGTTGATGGAGACTTTCATTTCGTAAAAAAATGCATAAAGAAAATATTCGTAGGTCGATCTCACCAGAGGAGGACGGCTGAATCCCGTTGTACTGCAGCCACTTGGCTTTTATACGACGTTCAGGTTGACACAGTCCACATGACCTCTCGTTTCGGTTGAAAGCGGGCTGAGCTTTCGTCCATCAAATGATGAACATCGTCAGAGCTGGAACTCATTCTTGCAAGTCCCAAGTTAACACTAGGCCAGGAAGAGTATCCGGCTCAATACTACCTCTTATATATACTCAAAACCAAAAACGAAAATAAACAGGCATAGATAGATATAGTATGATTTGGCTAACTATCTTTCAAACTGGTGCTTCTACTTTTGCTTGAGTGCGTTAATGTGTTAACTTGAGACTTTTACAAGAATGACTTCCAGCTCTAATGATATTCATCATTTGATGAACGAAAGCTCAACCGGTTTTTACCTGAAATGAGGCAGGGCGTCCAGTGTACTGCGTCAACTTGAACGTCGTATAAAAGTCAACGGATGTAGTTCAACGGGATTTAGTCGTCCTCTTCTTGTGAGATCGGCATACGAATCTCTTCTAAATGTACTTTCTTATGAAATGAAAGTCCCTCCGACAATGTTATCTCAGGAGAGTCATAGAAACCCAGTTATTCTTCGTAATTATACTGCAATATCAACGCTTTTGTATTGCAGCCATCAATGATACTAGACTAAGAGTGCATCTTCAGGGACCATTTTTTCACCTACATACGACCTTTTAAAGCAAGTGTTCGACACTCATGCATTTTATTCTATTTTTCCCAACCCGCCCGCTTTTTAGCAGTTGCCTCGAGCCAACTCGAAACTCTGGGGGGATTCGAGCTCTGAATGTACACACTTATTTGAAATTTCTATTGTCGTTCTCTTGATGATGAGTTTTTTATTTCTGCCCATCTGGCAGACGGCAAGGCTTTCTCGTCCATTAATTAATCAGGATTGTTATAGCTAGTGGTTTCTGAATATTGCATTCAACTCCTTTTATGATGGTCTGGTATATAGCTGGAATGTATCGCATTTATGCATATGAAGACCTGTTTCTGATAGTGAGAACACATCTCGTAGAATTTGGAGGTGCTACATTAACTTGATCCTCATCCGATCTTAAGTGTGCTCCTAATCAAAGAGATAGTACAGTTGATCTTGACTACTCGTTGAATCAAATAAACAGTCACAACAAAACGGAAATCCTCTTTTAGTATCAGGTTTGGCACATTTTCGAATCTCTACTACCAAATTCTTCATACAAAATGAAAGGTGAATGAAATTAAATGAAATTCAACTTTTCGTCCTTTACTTAAATCTTTTGTTTGTAATTGTATCATATGGTATTGCCTAGGTCTATCATACTAGGCTTGATTTCATCCGAGCCCTTTGCACATTCAGTTTGTCTAGCAAGAGCGCCACTACCTATATATACTTGGTGTATTACACGGTGAGGTGTAAGCGAAAGAAGTTGGTTCCACATATATTTACATAGTTGTTTTTATTTTTTAGCAAATTTAGGATTATTAGAACGGTGGCTAGTCTGCTTACGATGAATTGAAGAAGCTGCCTAGCTTTTGCGTTGAACTTCACTTTTTATCATCAATTCTTGAAGACCTGTTTTTATCCAAATCTGACGGCGGGATTCCGATCTTGGACATGTGTTTTTAGAGGTAAACGTGTTATGCTCACAAATTACTGTCACCCGGGAAGGGCTTGCTTCATCATGAAATTCATGCATGTTAAGTAAACTTAGGCCGCGTGACTTAAAAGCTTACATTTTTGCCCCTTTTCTTGCACTTCCATTGCTCATATCCCGCTCGAATGTGCTGATTAACAAAGGAGTCTAGGTTGAAACTGTAGAGGATTCTTGGTGAGAGCGACTTCGTAAGAAGCGTGACAAGTCGAGATTGAATAGACGCATTAAAGATTATCTTTAATTCATTCTTAACAATAAAGGTACGTTTCGACTCAAAATTTGTCGAGAAACTAACCAAGTCTTGTATGCTTTCACAACAATCTTCTATTTTTGAAAATAAAAAGGCTCCTATTGCGTTTAGGCTTAATTGATTGGCTCATTTATTCACAAGAGTAGTCAAAACTTCGGTTCGTACATATTATTTACTCGACGATTATGCGAGACTTGTCACTTTCACGCGAAATAGTTTGCCAAATTGACTCAAGTTTGAAAGTATGTTTTGCTTTTAGCCATTCTTCAACAAATAGTCATTCGTTTGATTAAAAAAATGCTTTTTACTTTTAACCTAATATATGGGGCCGCGTACCGGCAGATTTGCTCTTGGACTTCGACTTGAACAGAGACATTAAGAGCGTGTAAACAGAATTCATATTCGCAGACTTGTTATTATCTACTCGAGATTTCTACCCCTGATAATGCGCCTTAGTTGAGGATTTATGCCTTAACGCCTCCAATTTACTCTAAAGCTGCAAAACAAGGAACTAATCTCGGCATTTTTTTCTTATTGCATGGAGAGAGATGATCTACTGGGAGATTGAGAGACAAGTAGCCAGAACCATTTTAAGAGGTTGCCATTAGAGATGCAAAGATAGAGATTCAGATTTGTTAATAATAAACCGGATTAATGCAACGAAGTATAAAGATATGATCGAAAGTTGGCCCCTAGTTTTGGTTTACTAATGACCCTGGTGTTTACCAAATCAAGCGCATGCATAGAAATGAATAAAACGAGGCCAAATTACTATGTGGGACTGAAACGGTGACAAAGCAAAATATTAAAATGATTTTAAACGAAGCATAAATATGAGATGTATTCACCTTACTTAGTTTAAGGTGATACATTGACTGGTAGTTGAATTCTCTCAATCTGATTAGTGCACCTTTGGTTTCGATCAAATTTCACATAGCCTTGTTTTCACAATAAGGATTCTCGTCCTTCGGGGAAAGCAATGCCCATCTGAAATTCAATCGAAACTTATGATCTACTCATCAGATTTTGAGAAAATTCAACTACCAATCCATTTATCACCCTAAACGAAATAGGATGAATATATTTCATATATATGATCTACTGGTAGTCTCTAAAACCCACTTATAAATGAAAATAAGCATAAGTAGCCTAACCATCGGTACCAAGAGAGGGGCACAGACTAACGGGGCAAAGTGGACTGTCATGCTTGTGCTATCACCTTACTTTCAAGACCAGTCATATAAATAATTTCTCGAATATGACGGATCCACCGGCTGCTATCATGTGAACCCGATTGATCAGTTAGGCAAGAAATATCTTTTCATATGCATAACGAACCTGCTGTATGTGGCCATTCGGATCAGTAGACCATGTAAAGGGAATGAGAAACTGGTGATGAAGTTGATCACATTCCAATATACCCGCTTTGCAAATGCAACATTTTAGTATACGTCAGTACAAACTGGAATAGATAAATTTGGTTGTATAACGTAGAAAGAATGGCTGAGGATACAGCTTTATTATCTGGAAAAAGGTGTGAGGTTAGACCGTATTCGTTCGATACCACTCGTGAAGGCTGGTGCTACTCTTGACAGTGTCATCTATGATAACAGTGTAATGTCTAGAGATGTATTCATTCAGCAGTCCGATTTTGGTAAAGGCAGGTCAACAATGCAATTGGAATGCTCTACGGAGTATGCCATTCCAAGTCTATCTGGAAAGACGACTCGGTTGTGAAGGCGAGGTTTAAGTTCGTCGATAGCGAAAGAAGACGTCGATAAAGTCAACAGTGTTAATTTTTATTTTATTATTTGTTGTTTGTATCTTGTTCATTACTTTCTGACCTCCCGACATGATGCTTTTACTTGCAGGACCTTTATCAAAGAGTAATCACCAACGAGGACACCACACCACTCTGTGACATCATTGCACGCATTCTTCGCTTCTTTCGACATGGTGATCCCAGCGTTCGTATTGACACTGTGGAACCGGCATTGGCTCAATTTGTTGGTGAAAAGCGAACACCTTCTCGAGTCGCTATGCAACGCCTTCTAATGCGTGCCTCTCCACGTCTTGCTCTGGCTTCTACTGGCGGCGGTGGTGGAGGCGCTGACAATCCTGGAAGTAAGATGAGACCACTCTCAGATCTTCCGATCCCCGAACGAGCCCAGCTGCTTGATTCACTGATTGAATGTGTATATGATGAACAGCCTGACTTGCCGCTCTCTTCAGGCTTCAATAACAGCAACACAGGCAATGCCGGTTCTGCGGCTGGTACGTCAAAGGCTGTCAATGACACGGGGTCTTCCGGGAGACAAATGAATGGTTCCTCCACTCCTTGGTCCAGGCCTAAAGCCAAGAAATTTAGGAAAATGGGCGGAATAGAGAAGACGGCCGAATGCGATGATGATGAGGGTTATAACGATGAAGAGGATGAGACGAGGGATCACAACGGCTCTGGAGCAGATGCTGCTGACGACTTGAATGGTGAGGACGACGACGACGTAAGTGATGAATTCGAGACGGGACAGGAGGCGGTGGAGGCCACTGGAACTGCCACAACTAACCTGTTAGACCACGAAGAGGACGTGAATGTGCTCATCAAGGCTGGTCAGGATGCGCAGGGCTGCAGTTACTACTATATGGATGGTAGGATAAGCTTTTACACTATAATGTGTTGTCTTAATAAAATTTATACCATTCTCATTCAACATTCCTTTCTAATAGGGTAAATTTAACCTCAATTCCGTCAATAATCAGGGCTAAATACTTATTACTTTTAATGAATATCTGCGTTTGAATATGTTTTTAATTCATCTCCATGCCCTATATGAGGACCTAATGCAAATATTATTTAAATTATCTATTGTTATTGAGTCAAAGCAATAAAGTTTTTTGATGAAAAGTAAATGTCAGAGTTTTATTGGTGCATATTTTACCAGTGTTTGATGTCTTTTTTTACTAAACTAGCCATTGCTAATCATCTAAAGCCATGATTTCATTAACGATTTCGGAAATTCATAGTATGTCGACTGACTTCTATCGACAATTCATCCCTGACTGGAAAACTAAGTTTCTCATAAAAGATCTCTATTCATCC